GCAACTTTCACAGAAAAATTTCAACCGCCGGAACACGCAGGTTTCAGGAAAAACTTCTCAACAACAGATCACATCCACACTTTAAATTTGATTATAGAGAAATATATAAAGCACAACAGACCACTATACCTGACATTTATCGACTACCCCAAAGCCTTCGACTCTATATCACATACGAACATGTGGAAGTACCATCGGAGACTTAAAACAAGAGAAATAAACATTTGTAGAGACATCAGACAAGGTGACTCCCCTGTCACCTAGAATTTTTATAACTGTGCTACAAAATATAATGAAAACTCTGAAGTGGGAAAAGAAAGGAATAAATATAAATTGGAAATTCCTCAGTAATCTTCGATTTGCGATATATAGCAGCAGCAGTAGAATACCAGCGTAAAATAGCAGCTTAACACTGCTATGTTTCGTATGGTGAGTGTAGAGAACCGGAGACCCTTTTTACTGGAAAAGAGGCATTCCATCTTAGGCGTCACGGGTGACAACGCATCTGCATTTTGATTCGCAAACGAGGATAGATGTATATGTCTATGGGCCACAGCAACCACTTACCATCAGGTGGACTCTGTGCTCGTTTGTCACCCTATCCTATAAAAAAAAGATGCTTTGGAACATTCTAAAAACAAAAATGGAAATGGGCGGGTCATGTTGCATGTATGGACAAAGAAAAATGGACACAGAGAGAAACTAACTGGCAAGGACCAACAAACAATAGGAAAAGAGGTAGAGCGAGAGAAAAATGGGTTGATGAAATAATAAGAAAAGCCGGTGAAAATTGTATCACAAAGGCAAAGGACAGACAGACCTTGAGAGAAATGGAGGAGGCCTTCACCCGTTGAGGGGTCCCTAATGACTTATGTTATGAATTTTGTAAACTGATCTGAAAATTTAATTTATTTAATATTTTAAAATTTATATAAAAAATTTTGAAATTATTTGTTATGCGATTGTAAATTATTAATCATGATAATTATGAAACGTAATATTTTGTTTTATGCATGCATCATTATATATATTTATAATTATATATTTGTTGTCATTCATTATGGAAATAAAGAGGTCATTATTATTATTATATAAACGCCAAATTGAAAGATAGGTCGCGTAAGATAAGACTGTATCACCTGTGTATGTTCCCTTGTCGGTGATAAATCTCTCCCCTACAACAAAAGACCAATTTTTACATTTAATTTAAATTTTTGTTTTTTGGAAGCAAGGCATATTTTTTTATAGGAGAACGAGCATGCGGCTCACCTGATCGTAAGTGACTACCGCCGCCTATGATCAACTGCAACACAAGGGGAATTGCAGATGCGTTGCCGGCCTTTTAAAAAGGAGTAGGCTCTTTTCTTGAAGGTCCCTAAGTCCTATCGGTCCGGAAAGATCGCTGGTGGTAATCAATTCTGCAAAGAAGTTGTGCGAGGAAGAAAACATCTAAAACGCACAGTGGTGGACCGCCAATCATCCAGATGGTATGGATGGAATCGGGAGTTTTGTCGCGATGTGCGATGGTGATATTGAGCGGCTTGAATTAGTCCGAACAATTCCTCAAAGCACTCCCAGTGGTACATGCGATAAAATACGCAAAGAGATGCAACATCTCTACACAGTACCAGTGAGTCAAGCCGATCAGAAAGAACTCGGTCGTCGACGATTCGAACCGCTCTGCGCTAGATTCGGTCAAGTGGAAGGAACTGGGAAGCCGCTGCCCAGAGATGGGAACAGTATTTCATGTGAGGCCGAACCTGCGCCTTGTAAAGTTGCAGGTGGTGTGCCGGCACGAAATACTGTAGCCCGCTCTGCTGAGCACGCCAATGTTTTTAGAGGCTAATTTGTCCTTCTCTTCAAAGTGACCAAGAAACTGCACGTCACTCGATATGTCGACACCGAGAATTCCGATACTGGCTGAGGTAACAAGAGGAGTGCCTTGAAACTGAGGAGATACTACAAAGGGATTCCTTTTAGCGGTGAACGCGCAAACTATAATGTTGAATCTATATAATATTTTAAAAAATAACGGCAAAGCACATTACCCTTTCCTAACATACCTGCGTATAGGTGAAAGATAATTTAAAATTAAAAATTTTGTACAACTGACTTCAATATAAATTGTTAAGAATAACTCAAAAACTATTGGTCGGACCTTGATCAAATTTATATGGAACCAGATGAGAAGCAACAGCTTTCAAATAAAAAAGAATCATCGAAATCGGTTCACACACAAAAAAAGTTATGAGGTAATACACATAAAAAACATACAGCCAAATCGAGTACCGTCTCGTTTTTGAAGTCGGTAGAAAATTGAGTTCGTTGCCTAGAACACATTAAAGTATGCGTCTGTTTAATATTGATTGGATATAAAATTTCATATGTTTTTACTTTTCACATGTGCAAGGCAGCCAGAGGTTCGAAAACGCTAATCGTATTCCTGAAACGAAAACGCCATTTATTGATTTTTACTTAATATTCCTCTATTTTTATCAACCAATCTAAGCTATTATTAATGAGATCTTACATTTTTCTACAAATAATAGAAGACAGGAAAGGATTTTTACACGATTGTTATATTTGCCTTTAAAATCTACTGAGCGTCTTACATCAGATTCTGTCCATAACATATTTCTTAAAAACAAATTACGACATATTATTATAAATAACAGGCTTACATGTATTATTCATATTGCTTGCACGGTACTAACTGCTTAAAGGGCTCAAATCTGTAGCCGCAATATACCGATTCATATATAAATAACAGGAGGCAACCCAGACACATTATAATGTTAGGTTTATAAAAACTATAAGGGGCATAACGTATTTAAAGGCGGGAAATTTATTTTAACAGATAATTTATGGTGCGCAGTGTCATAACTGCAAGAACTCATTTCGTCCGTTTGTAGGACCTGACGGAAATAACTTATTCTTAAAATTCTTGACTATAAGAAAGATCTATTTCGGGTCGATGACTTTTACTAAAATTTTAAGTTTACACACTAACTTGTCGTGTTTGTATCTTTAAAATAATAATGAAATAAAAAGGCGCCACCAACTAAGCTTTAGAATTTTTAAATTCTCTAAGCACACACTGTGATTACGATTAAATACTCGTAATTGGGAATTTTATGGGATCATCCCTAAAGTATATCCTATTTAATAAAAAATTATTATTAAAATCGATTCACAACTGAGCAAGAAAATCAAATACAAGTTATTAAAAAGAAAAGAAACTCTTTACATCAAAAAAATAATCTTAAATTGTCATTCACTGTTCTGTCACTCTGTAGCTTATAGAGAAATCACTCCAAGTATAAATCAGTATTATGTAACAAGGCAATCAGGATTTGATCGGAAAATATGCTTTTAATAGATAAAAATTATTGGCCTTCAAAACACAATATGACATCAAAACGAGTGCAGCATCCGTGACAAATTTCGTAAGTTGACCTTATTTTTTCATAGAAATAAAAGCGACAAATGAGCACACAGTTTCTTTAATAATGGTAAGTGAGGATTAAGATAAAATGCTGCGTTAACAGTAAAAAAGACTCCGGTTCTTGTCACCCACCTTTACGACACATAGTATCACGCTAATATTATATAAGAGTGTGGTCCTTCCCCAGTCAAGCCAACTCATTTGTGCTGCAACTCTTAACACACTACAGCATAACTATTAATATATAGGATGATGCTTGTTGTCTTCCAATCGGACGACTAAAATATTTTATTCGACCGCTTACGGACAACATAGTTCGTAGTGGGGGGTCTGAGAAACTGATACTTATCGAACCATGTACCTACTACGTACTATGTAGTGTATTAAATCAGTTGAAAAAATTTAATTTAATTAAATTAGTGGATGAATAAAATAAATTAGTCGTCTGATTAGCAAATGACTAGACACTTCGTATATATATGTCCTATTTGTGCTACGTGATCTCAGTTGTTTAAGATATCAGAAGCATCTGATATCTTAACCTGACATCCACTGACCACCATCACCAGGCCTCATAATATAAGGAGTTCACTTAGCGAGCGGATCAGCAATTTCAATATCAAAGGTTTCCTGCTCCCCCTCCCCGTTACCGGAGTGTACTCGTATCATTTACAGCCTATAAAAGTCCACTGCTGTACATAGGCCTCTCCCATAGATTGCCTCAATGGGGGAAGTTGACCACAGTTGCCACTTTTGGCAGACACAGTTTTTTATAATTTTAAGTTGTTATGAGTAAGATGTTGCTGCCATCTCCTGTTTTAGTTTCCCTATGTCGCCTCTTACGACACCCGCGGATCGATATGGGGTAGCAAATATTCTTACACCGCCTCTTCAGCCTAATATAAAATGCTTATTTAGCGATCTGTTCGTAACTACCCGAATAAAACTTGCGCTAATAATGAAACATCAAGAACAAAAAAAGAAAAAATATATGCCGATGATTATTTTTTATTCAAACTGTGTTATAAAACAAATAAATTCTTGTCGGTAGGTCGCTTTGGACGTATTTTATTAACCTTATAACCTCTATATCTATTACGATTAAGTGTCAGTATAAATTTAGCTATGTATTATTATAAGAGGTAAAATTAAAAAATTTGTACAACCGACTTCGATATAAATTATTAAGGAGAACTCAGAAACTACCACATTAGAAGCACCAGCTATCAAATAAAAAAAGAATCATCGAAATCGGTTCACTGAGAAAAAGTTATGAGGTAACACACATAAAAAAACATACAGTAAAATTGAATACTTCCTCCTTTCTAAAAGAAGAAAAAGCATTTTATTTCATTTATATACTACGATAATACAGAAATTATCATAGCTTCCTGTATTTTCCTTTTTGACAAGTGGATTTCCTCTCTATGTTTTCCTGTTTTAAATAAGCACAGCCTTTGACCATGTCCTTATAAATATTATCTAATAATTTAACAGCCAACAACAGTGATAGGCTATCTTTAAAAACATTTTGTTTTCAGAATCTCTTAACAAAATGGCATGCTGTTGCAAGTCTGGTCGAAGTGAGTTAAAATTTTAAATACCTAATAAACTTTTTGATTTGAATCATGATCAAAACGTGTTCCTAAAATTAAATCCTAATCGATATCAACAATTGTGAAACGAACACACATTGGTGGTTTCCGGATAGGCTTGCCGTCTCTACAAGTCATTAACGGGATTTTCTACTGTGATACTCGTACCTTCTGATGTGAAATAATTTTTTTTATTATTATTATTATGTCACGGAACACATTATAATACTTAAGTAGATGACGATTTTACGATAAAGTTGTTCCAATGGGTACAAATTAAATTTGGAACAAAGCTAAATTTCATAATCTATCAATGATGTCCTCCAGAGTGAATTTCGGTCACGACGACCAGTCTCAACGGGACAGAATTATAGTAGGTACCCAAGACTGTGCTAAAGGACAGGTGCACTCTATATCTAATACGACCGCAGTTAGGAGAAAGTTAAAAATGTAGAAATATTCCATAAACGGAACGAATCTTTTTAAGTATTATAAATTGTGAAAACAATTTCTGACGGCTCGGTAACACAGTGGCTAAGCATTTCACTGAAGCGCTGCGGGCCTGCGAAATCGAATTCCACACAGAACAAGGATGTGTATGGCCGGCATACGAGTATTGTTCCGCTCCGTGCGCAATTTATGTAGGTTGCCAATATCAAAATCGGCCAAAAAATCAGCCGGGAATCAAATGAGGGCTTCCGCAACTTTTTACGTCACCAGAGCGGCGCCACTTTGGAAGGAGGTGAAATATTTGACAGTTCTCATAGCGGGGAAGTTGAATTGTTACAAAATTTTAAAGATTAATGTTTCTCTCTGAAAGATTAGCTTATATTCTGCGTTAATTAGATTAGAAATGTAGAATAAAACAAGAGTTGTAATGTGCAAAAAAATTAAGAGGACACCTTTTTTTTTGTATACACTTGAACGTGGGAAACTTTTATTTAAAACGCAACTTTTCAATTACGATGACTGTATATCGAATATCTTCATCTCCAGTCCCAACTAGCGACATTTGGTGAGCGAAAGATTATTATTTTTCATTGCACAACAACATTCGCTCGCGTTCTAATAAAAAAATTAATTCGCTTTATTCGGACCAACAAAAAATACAGACTCTGTCTGGGCACTCCATACAATATTATGACTTATTTTATATTATGATAGTAGGCATACTCCACTTCTTGACACGCACTCACGCACGATAAAAAAACAAAGATATTCCTTCCTTCATTCCTTAACAGCCCGTAATAGTTTACTGCTGGACGCATATGCACCTAAACTATGTTATTAGTTGCAAATTATTTTCGATGCCTACCTAGATACAACTTGGTTTTAGTCTAACTTGCGCGCTCCATCCATCTTTCTACGTTGGTCTTCTTAAAACGTAGCCATCTTACCACTGTATTATTTTATTGCATACATAGAAAAGCTGTTTCCTAATAAATTCATTCATTCCTATAATCACGCAGCAAATAAGTCGTCGGTGAGTTGTCTTGGTCGCTGTGATCTGCCAAAGCACCGATGCCTAAACAAGGAGGAGATAAAACCTGGCCCTGTACCGAAATACATGGGATGGCATTACACTGCAAAGGACGCACCCGAACATCAGGTACGCGGTAAATTTTAATTGATCTTATAATAAAGAAGACAATGATAATACAGCATTATATTTTTATACCGCTATGAGGGCCGATGCACTTATACGACGTTAGACGACTACGAAAACCCGCATTCACAACTCGCAGTAAATCAACAGTTAAAAGTGTAACACCAGTAATTAAACTAAGATTACTCGCACACTATGAAACGTTTTTACCAAGCAGGTATAAAAATAACCATTCCACCTTGTGGTAAGTGTATTCTGTCGACCATTAATAGCGGCATGCATAATATATTAAGGATCAAAACGGTTCCTCTACACTCACCGTACAATACACAGTATAATGCTGGTATTCTGTGAGAGCGTAGTTCCCCCCCCCCCCCCCCCGTTCAAGTTTTCCCATTATCCAGCTGCGCCTATAATACAGCTGCAAGATGGCTTAACAGGTTTATGCGAGCATACTGTTTCTACAATTTTATAAAAACTTTTTTCAGCTACGATGTGGATGGCGTCCAGGTCACATTTCATGTTCTGTCCTCAGAAAAATTGAACGGCATAATTGCATGAAGAGTGGTGAATGTGGTGCACCTTGTACCATTGAACGGTATAATTGCATGAAGAGTGTTGAATGTGATGCGCCTTGTACCACTTCTTGTTCGAGACCGACTTGCTTAAAGTCTTGTTGCATGACTCCCAAATGCGTTTCAATCTGTCCTTCAACCACTTCCTGCAAACCCCCGATTTGTGGGCAACCTCTTATAAGAGTTATTAGACACGGAGGCCAATACAGCATTTGTACAAAACCCTCAAATATCATCAATACACCTTCTGGTCCTTACCCATTGAAGTATGTTCTTAACACCAATGACAGTGAAGACAAAGAAGAAACAGCCAAATACAGCGTAGAAGCAAAGTTTAATGATTACCATTTTGATTACACTAGCTCACAATCATCTTTTGTGCTTGATTTTTCGCCGCCAAATCAAAAATGCTACAAGACGTGCCCGAAGAAAAGTGCTATATGCTTGCTTAGTGAGGCAAAGAAATAACATAAAAATTTCCAATCTTTCTTATTCTCTCTGTTGAATATCATTCATAAAATAAAAAGAAAATATTTCGTTGTTTTTATTTTTACTCTCAATCTTTGTGACCTAACATACCTATAACAATAGCAATTAGGACACCTGTATGTCCTTAGAACACTCAATGGGTTAATAATAAACTATTTAAATGGAGAACAAATTTTAATTAAATTGCTGCGTACGTACTTTTGCATTTACAAATTTTTATATGACCTCCACATACGAAAATGTCTGAGCTGACTGAAAGACAGTCTGCTGTCTAGGTGTTTCCTTCCGAGGAGTTGCCAACTAAAAAGTGAAGAGAGGTTGAAGCGTGGGAAAAAATATGGCGGCATCGTTCTTCGGAAGGACAGGTCGTTACGCAACAATTGTTTTAGAGGATCGAAAAACAGTTACTGCAGAGTGGTACACTTGTTTGCCACTTGTCTTAGGAAAAGTTCGGGAGAAACAACCTCGCAATAGGATTTTTTTTTTTTTTTTTTTTTTTTTTTATAGGAGAGGGGGCAAACGAGCATGCGGCTCACCTGATGGTAAGTGACTACCGCCGCCCATGAACAACCGCAACACCAGGGGAATCGCAGATGCGTTGCCGGCCTTTTAAAAAGGAGTAGGCTCTTTTCTTGAAGGTCCCTAAGTCGTATCGGTCCGGAAAAATCCCTGGTGGTAAACTATTCCACAAGGAAGTTGTGCGAGGAAGAAAACATCTTCTAAATCGCACAGTGGTGGACCGCCAATCATCCAGATGGTGTGGATGGTATCGGGAGTTCTGCCGCGATGTGCGTTCATGAAATTTGGCGGCTGGGATTAATCCGAACAATTCCTCAGAGCACTCCCCATGGTAGATGCGAAAGAAAATGCAAAGAGATGCAACATCTCTTCGCAGTGCCAATGAATCGAGCCGATCGGAAAGGGCTCGGTCGTCGACGATTCGAGCCGCTCTGCGCTGGATGCGGTCAAGTGGAAGGAGCTGGCACTGGGGAGCCCCTGCCCAGAGATGGGAACAGTATTCCATGTGAGGCCGAACCTGCGCCTTGTAAAGTTGCAGGCGGTGTGCCGGCATGAAATACTGTCCCGCTCTGCTGAGCACGCCAAGCTTTTTAGAGGCCAATTTGGCCTTCTCTTCCAAGTGACCACGAAACTGCACGTCACTCGATATGTCGACTCCGAGGATACCGATACTGGCTGAGGCAAGAAGGGGAGTGCCTTGAAACTGAGGAGATACGACAAAGGGGTTCTTTTTAGCGGTAAACGCGCAAACTTGTGTCTTCTGAGGATTAAACTGGACTAGATTTAGTCGCCCCCAATCCGAGACTTTGTCCAGCAAAGACTCGACTTCAGACACAAGTTTGTTCCGGTACTCGGCGACGTTTTCCCGAGAAATATTGGCCCGGCCGGTGTATAGAGCATCACCAGTGCTGTCATCCGCATAGCAATGAATGTTACCAGTTAGCAACATATCATTGATATGCAGAAGAAACAGCGTTGGTGATAGCACACAGCCTTGTGGAACACCAGCGTTAATAGGCTTGTAGTCAGAACATGCACCGTCTACAACGACCTTGATGCTCCGATCTGCAAGAAAGCTGGTGATCCAATTGCACAATTTCTCGGGAAGCCCATAGGAAGGCAGCTTTGAAAGAAGCGCTTTGTGCCAAACCCGATCAAAGGCCTTCGCAATGTCCAGACTAACGGCCAACGCCTCCCCCTTGGACTCTACTGCCTCCGCCCATCTATGGGTCATGTAGACCAGAAGATCACCAGCTGATCGACACCGACGAAAACCGTATTGGCGGTCACTAATCAGCTGGTGATCCTCAAGGTACCGGATGAGCTGGCAGTTAATAATGGATTCCATTATTTTGGAAAACAAGGAGGTGATCGCGATAGGCCTATAGTTGGACGGGTCTGAGCGGTCGCCTTTTTTAGGGATCGGGTGGACAAAAGCTGTCTTCCATGAATTCGGGACTACGCCTTGGGAGTAGGAGTACCGGAAAAGACGCGTTATGACCGGTGCCAACTCCGGAGCACACGTCTTCAGCACAATTGGGGGGATTCCGTCAGGCCCACTCGACTTCTGGATGTCCAGGGAGAGAAGTGCTTTACGAACTGAGCGCTGTGAGAATAGCACATCCGGCATGGAGCACTCACACCGCGGGATGGTCGGCGGTATTTTCCCCCCGTCATCAAGAGTCGAGTTGGACGCAAAAAGGGAGCCTAAAAGGTCGGCTTTGTCTTTTGCGTCTTGGGCCAGTGAGTCGTCCTCCCTGTGCAGAGATGGTAGTGATGGCTTACAGAAATTCCCTTGGACAGCCTTGGCGAGAGACCAGAATGCACGGGTTCCCGAAGGAAGGCGAACTAGTTTCTCGCCAATTCTGCCTATGTGCTCTGACTTTGCCTTGGCAATAACTCTTTTGAAGGACCTGGAGGCGAAGTTATACTTCTTTTTAAGTGTGCTGGTGTTTACATCCCGAGTCACCGAAGCTGCAGCCCAGGCTTGATAACACTCCTGCTTACTGCGCAATGCAGTCTTACAGGAGCGACCAAACCAAGGCTGAGATCTGCCTCCGATGGGTACCACAGATGATGGAATAAATAGTTCCATTCCCTGTAGCACCACATCAGTGACAGAGTCAGCAACAGCACTGGGATCATCCGGCGAGAAGCAAACCCGCCCCCATGGGTAGGATGCAAAGAAAGACCGCATTCCGTCCCAATCCGCCGACCTGTAATGCCAAACACGGCGGCAACCTGCAGAACGCAACCGCGAAGGGAGCGTGAGTGGCACCACACCCCGGATCAGACAATGGTCCGAAGAGCCGAGAGGGGCATCGACGGAAACCAGATATCCGTCTGGATGAGAGGTCAGCAGAAGGTCCAACAGGGAAGGTGTATGATCCTCCACATCTGGAATCCGCGTAGGCGAAGTAACCAGTTGTGTCAGACCATATGCCAAGGCAAAGTCATAAACAGATCTCCCCGCATGATCGGTTAAACGTGAACCGAGCCATTCGGCATGGTGGGCGTTAAAATCGCCAAGGATCACGATCTCTGCGGATGGGACCTGTTGTAGCAAGGAATCTGTAGCCATTTGGACGTGGTCGATGAGTCGGTCTGTTTCGGCATTACCGCTATGGGACCTATAGAGGCACCCGTAGACGCGCGGATGGTCGTCGCTGTCTACGCGTAGCCAAAGGATGGACAGGTCCGAACCTTCAAGACTGCCGAGGCGTCGAGAACAGATGTCCTCTCTAACATACACGCAAACTCCAGCCCGAGGCACAAAGGAGTGCTCCAATTTGTACCCCGGGTAGGAGAGATACGAAATATCAGTTGGAGAGGAAACCTGCGTCTCGGTCAAAAAGAGCAAGGCCGGCTTCGCCGTCTCGAGATGGTAGTGGACGGCGTTTAGGTTAGAGTGAAGTCCCCTGATGTTGCAGAAATTCACGGATAGCGTGGTAGGGGTCGCCTTGGTATTGTTGCTCAGCTTGCCCCGAGCAGTTTTGTTTTTGAGCGGAATTTTGCCCCCCCCAGAATACGCGGGGCAGCCTGAGTACCCACGCTCAGGATTGGAATAACATGGTCGTGGATGCTCAGCGAGGGATTCTCCAGGGGTACTGGTACCCTCCTGGGGTAGTCTGTTGTCTAATTCCGCTACCATGTTGATGGGGGGGGGGGGGGGGGGGGAATTGGGCTTCCGGCCACCTGCACTCACCAGACGAAACGCAGAAGCATAGCCTCTACTTCACGCCGGTATTCTGTGAGGTCGTGGTACCAACCCGGCTCGAGCCGGCCCATACGTGCAACAGCAAAAAACTGCTGCAGGGCTCTACCACCGTTAAAATCATCCTCAGGGATCCTCCTTCACCAAGACAACGCCTCGTCGCACACCGCCAAGTAAACAATTGACTACTTGGCGACGTCAAACGTGGAATTACTGGGTCACCCGCCCTATAGCCCCAACCTCGCGCCTTGCGATTCATTTTCATTTTCACTTGAAAGCAAGGCTAGATCAGAAAGCTTAACTTCTGCGAGAGTCGACATCAGCTATGTTTTACTAAGCTTATGCTTGCGTTCTTCTTTGGCCACTGTAATCGGAATAGTTACAAAAATCCGGAGAGCTGTCCAAATAATAGATCTTTAACTATGAAATTGCCGTTCTGCAGTACTGGCCAATTCAAATCAAAATAATTTTTGTTTGGCTAAGAATTCGAATTTTTTTATATAGGATAGGGTGACAAACGAGCACACAGTCCACCTGATGGTAAGTGGTTGCTGTGGCCCATAGACATCTACATTTACCCTCGTTTGCGAATCAAAATGCAGATGCGTTGTCACCCGTGAGGACTAAGATGGAATGACTCTTTTCTAGTAAAAGGGGTCTCCGGTTCTCTACACTCACCATACGAAACACAGCAGTGTCAAGCTGCTATTTTACACTGGTATTCTGTGAGAGCGTGGTCATTCCCCGGTCGAGCCGACCCATTCGTGCTACAACTATACTACTAATATAGCTACAGCATGACTCTACCACGTAAATTACTTTCAAATAAAAAAATTCAAATTACCCTTATTTTAAAAACATGGAATCGTTTTTTTAAAATTAGTCATTTGTTTATTGATAACCGTTATGTTTATCTTTTTCATCATCATGGATACGTCAAAAATTCGAGTAATCATGGAAAATGAGTACCGTCGTGACAGCAACGCGGCACAAGCGGCACGCAACATCAACGACGTTTACGCAGTGAATACTACAAACTAACGCACCGCCTGTTATTGCTTTGTCCGCTTCCGTTCTGGAAATTTCGACCTGAAAAATTAACTCTGTGATCGTCCGAAAACGTTGGTCGAATTAAAGGACAATGACAAATTAAAGGTGATTCTGGAAGCTGATGATACTCAATGCATGGTTGAATTAGCAGCAGCTTTCCACGTTAGCATCAAAACAATATTGGTCCATTTGCGTC